TGCCCACTACTCCACGGTTCTGCCGTGTCCGGCCGCCCCGTCTGGCTTGCTGTCAGGTCTTTACCTCCCCTCGTTCTCTACGAACTTGGTGAGTGGAGCTGACCTCCAGGATCAGGGGGTGCACCAGTTCACTCCTGCGAGTCAGCGGGTGACTCACTGTACGTGTGCTCGGACCGGCCGACACCTGGGAACGTTTTCCCGTGCGCCTGGCTCGAGTCTGTACACCCTGACCACTGCGTCCGCTCAGGTAGCTGCGTCTGCGTCTGCGTCCGGTCAGCCGACAGCCTCCTGCAAGTGTCGCGCTTTGTCGCACCAGACCCTCCTGTGGCACCACCGCCTTGGTCACCCCTCGGTGCAGCGCCTTCGTGGCATGCACTCTCGCTTCCTGGTTTCTGGTCTGCCCAGGTCTTTGCCTGCCCTGCCTCCCTCGCTTGCGCCGCCCTGCATTCCTTGCGTCGAGGGGCGGCAGCGCGCCGCTCCTCACTCCTCCTCGTTCCCTCCCACAGAGGCTCCCCTGCAGACTCTCCACCTGGACGTGTGGGGCCCAGCTCGCGTCCGTGGACAGGGCCACGAGCGGTACTTCCTGCTGGTTGTTGACGACTACACGCGTTACACCACGGTCTTTCCCCTGCGCAGCAAGGGGGAGGTCCCTGCTGTTTTGATCCCTTGGATCCGCGCTGCCCGTCTCCAGCTCCGCGAGCGGTTCGGGACGGAGTTTCCCGTCCTGCGTCTGCACTCTGACCGAGGTGGTGAGTTCTCCTCCGACCTCTTGGCAGCCTTCTGTGCGGAGCACGGCATCACCCAGTCGTTCACGCTTCCGGACTCTCCGCAGCAGAATGGGGTTGCTGAGCGCCGCATTGGTTTAGTCATGGAGGTCGCTCGTACCTCCATGATCCATGCGGCTGCCCCCCATTTTCTGTGGCCGTTTGCGGTCCGGTACGCCACGCATCAGCTCAACCTCTGGCCCCGTGTCTCCTTGCCGGAGACCTCGCCCACACTGCTGTGGACGGGGAAGGTTGGCGATGCGTCGCGTTTCTGGGTCTGGGGTGCTCGTGCCTTTGTCCGCGATACCACCGCGGACAAGCTCTCCGCCCGTGCAGTTCCCTGTGTCTTCCTTGGCTTTGTCCCTGACGCGCCTGGTTGGCAGTTTTACCACCCCACCTCGCGCCGTGTCTTTGCGTCTCAGGACGTCACGTTCGATGAGTCGGTTCCCTTTTACCGTCTCTTCCCCTACCGCACTGCCCCTCTCCCTCCCCCGCCGCTCTTCCTCGCTCCAGGTGCTCCCCAGGTCGACCCTCTCCCCGCTCCAGGTCCTGCTCCCTCAGGTGTGTCTCAGGTAGACCCTCCTCCCTTCCTTGCGCCGGTTGAGGTCACTGGTGACTCAGGTCCTGCTGGGGGTGGTCCTGCTCGGGGTGCTACTTCTGGGGGTGCTGAGTCTGGGGGTGCTGAGCCTGGGGGTGCGGAGCCTGGGGGTGCGGAGCTTGAGGGTGTAGAGCCTGGAGGTGCTGAGCCTGCGTGTGAGGGGTCTGGAGGTGCTGGAGCTGGTGGTTCTGGGGCTGCTGAGGGTGCTAGCGCTGGAGGTTCTGGAGCTGCTGGAGGTCCTGGTGCTGGTGGCGCTGGAGCTGCTGAGGGTGCTGGCGCTGAGGGTTCTGAGTCTGCTGTTGCGCGGTCTCCTTGGAGTAGCCGCCTTCGTCCACGTGTGCCTCTCACCTCGCAGCAGCTGCACGACTGGTACGGTCGCCGTCAGGGTCGCGCTGCTGGAGCCCGGGGCTCTACTGCTGGAGGTACTTCTGCTGCCGTCCCTGGAGCTAGGAGTGGTGCTGGTACTGTTTCTACTGGAGGTGCTGGAGTCGCTGGTCCCGGAGGTGCTCGTACTGGAGGTACTAGAGCTGCTGGGGCTGAGGGTACTCCGTCTGGGGGTGCTGCTGCTGGAGACACTAAGGCTGGAGACCCTGGGACTGGAGGTGCTGGTTCTGGGGGTGCTGCTGCTGGAGACGTGGAGGCTGGAGACCCTAGGACTGGAGGTGCTGGTTCTGGGGGTGCTGCTGCTAGAGACGTGGGGGCTGGAGACCCTGGGACTGGAGGTACTGGTTCTGGGGGTGCTGCTGCTGGAGGCACTGGGGTTGGAGACCCTGGGCCTGGAGGTGTCGGTTCTGCTGCTGGAGCTTCTGGAGCTGCTGGAGGTGCTGGAGCTGCTGGGGGTACTGGAGCTGCTGGAGCTGCCGGTTCTGGTGCAGCTGCGCCGCCACGACTGTTCTTCGCTCCGCCGTCTCCGTCGTCTCTGCCGCCGCCTGACTCTGTTCTTCGTCAGGTTCTTACTCTCCCGTCGTCTACTGGTCTTCCGTTACAGCCTGGCTCACCGCTGCCTGCTCCTTCTCCTTACACTGAGCAGACGGGTAGTCTTGCTGAGCGTCGTGAGCCTGCGTCGCGTCCTGTCTCGCCTGTTCGTCCTAGTCGTACCGGTCGTCGTGTTCCGCGTCCGCGTTCGCCGCCTGTCCCCACCGCACACCTTGTCGTCCGTCGTCCTTCCTCTGTTCCGCAGTCTGTTTCTCTGCCGTCTCCTCCTGCGTCTTCCTTGCCTCACGTTCCGGACCCTGAGTCTGACCGGTTTCGTGCTGAGCACCCTACTGTCACGCGTCTGCTCGCCACTGTTGTCACTGACCCCTCGTTTGAGTCTGCTGCTGCGACTGCTTTGGTTGCTGAGCTTGTTGACTTTGCGGCTGCCTGTCGTCTAGACTACGCTGCTAGTCTTGTCGCTGAGTCTGAGTCTGTCTGTCCTTCGTCCGTCGGGGGTGAGTGTGCTCTTGAGGACAGGCACGAGGACTGGCACGAGGACCTTGAGTGTCTTGCAGCCGCTGCGCCTCATCTCGTGACCATGCTGCTTGCCCCTGAGGGAGACCCGGATGCACTAGACATCCCCACCCCGCGCTCGTACGCTGAGGCGGTCGCGGGTCCCTACTCCTCTCAGTGGCAGGCAGCCATGGACGCAGAGATGGCATCCTGGAAGTCCACAGGCACCTACGTCGACGACGTTCCCCCTCCTGGGGCGAACATCGTCAGTGGCATGTGGATTTTCAGGGTGAAGCGGCCGCCTGGTTCTCCGCCTGTCTTCAAGGCACGTTACGTTGCTCGAGGCTTCAGTCAGCGAGAGGGGGTTGACTTCTTCCAGACCTTCTCCCCCACCCCGAAGATGACCACTCTTCGGGTACTGCTGCACGTTGCCGCCCAGCGTGACTACGAGCTTCACTCGCTTGACTTCAGCACAGCTTTCTTGCAGGGCAGCCTGCACGAGGAGATCTGGCTGCGCCGCCCACCTGGCTTCACTGGGTCGTTCCCTCCTGGTACCCAGTGGAGCCTCCGCCGGCCAGTCTACGGTCTCCGTCAGGCGCCTCGTGAGTGGCACGACACACTGAGGACTACGCTTGCGGCTCTCGGGTTTGCGCCCTCCACAGCTGACCCGTCACTGTTTCTGCGCACCGACACTTCGCTGCCGCCGTTCTACATCCTCGTGTACGTCGACGACTTGGTCTTTGCCACTGCTGACACTGAGGCTCTCGCCCTGGTGAAGTCGGAGCTGCAGAAGAGACACACGTGCACAGATCTGGGTGAGCTGCGCAGCTACCTTGGCTTGCAGATCACCCGGGACAGAGCACGTCGCACCATCACTCTGACTCAGTCACACATGGTGCAGCAGGTCCTTCAGCGCTTCGGCTTCACCTGGTCCTCGGCACAGTCCACTCCTCTGGCTACAGGTCACTCGCTCTCAGCTCCACCTTCGGACGAGTCCGTAGAGCCGAGTGGTCCTTACCCAGAGCTAGTAGGCTGCCTCATGTACCTGATGACTTGCACTCGTCCTGACCTTGCGTACCCTCTTGGCCTTTTGGCCCGCTACGTGGCTCCTGGTCGGCACCGAAAGGTGCACTGGGATGCTGCGAAGAGGGTACTGCGCTACTTGTGCAGTACATCGGGCATGGGGCTCGTGCTTGGAGGACGGCGAGAGGTGGTCCTCACTGGGCACTCAGACGCGTCTTGGGTTGACGACCAGGCTACGCAGAGGTCGTCACAGGGTTACACTTTCAGCCTCGGCTCTGGTTCTTTTTCGTGGCGTTCTACTCACTCGTCTTCTGTTCTCAGCTCCAATTGTGAGGCTGAGATCTACGCCACCGCCATGGCTGCTCAGGAGCTGCGCTGGCTCACGTACCTGCTGACCGACCTGGGAGAGCGGCCTCGTTCTCCTCCAGTTCTGTACGTTGACAACAAGGCAGCCATTGCCTTGTGTGAGGAGCACAGACTGGAGCACAGAACGAAGCACATCGCTCTGCGTTACTTCCTGGCTCGAGAGTTGCAGCAGCGTGGTCAGCTTCATCTTGCTTACGTGGCCACTCGGGCCAACACTGCTGATATATTCACCAAGGCACTTCCGTCTGGTGATCATCAGCGCTTTTGTACCTTGTTGGGCCTTGTGCCTACGTTTCCACACTTGCTGTAGACTCTGCCTGTACTGTGATCTTTATATATATATATATATATGTATACCTGCATGCTTGCTCTTGCTAGGTAGTGATCACTGTACTTTGTTTGTTGCATATATACCTCTGCATGTGGACAGGCCTTGTGGCCCTTTGCTTGTGCTCAGTGTGTGTGGTGACGTTGTGATCCACCCTGAGCTTGTTTTGTTTCTCTTGACTGGTCTTGTGACCCGTTGTTCTCCCCCACTTTGCCTATGGGGGTGTGTCAAACTATGCATATTGTGTTTGTGTAGGCTGCTAGTGGGGTAGCCCATATGGGGTACAACCCAATGTTAGGGTTAGCTTATGTACCCAACTCTTGATCAATGCATTTCATTGCTGTCTCTAGATTCTAACAAAAATAAAGAAGCAATGTCTAAACATTAATTTCATTCATAAGAATCGCATTAGTACGTATGTTCATTTTAGAAATACTACGAAGTGTTGTACGTCAAGGAGTGCATTCAAAGCCTGTCTGATACTTACCAGTTCATGGTTTCGCGTTTTCCACGTGGAATTCATATGGGATTGTGGTTTTTTTTTTTTTCATAATAGATGCGGTTCACAACCCAATGCAATATATATGTTCAAAATCATATAAGGTGTTTTTCCGTAAAGTCTGTTAGCGAGTGTAAACGACACAAGAGCAGATTGATTTAAAGCGAGGAAATACCTGGTGAAATATGTGAAGGTCTTCAAAAAATAAAGCTAGGCCCCACATCATGTGAATCGCCTTTCCCGTACAAGGTACTAAGGTAGTTATCCTCCTGTATGCGAAGGGACTATATGGCGCTGACGCCTAGAGCGCGTTTGCTGACGCCAGCACGCCGGCGGTAGGGGCGTGGTGCAAACGCCCCGAGGCGCCACGCTGGGCAGACGCTCTGCCCCCTCACTCGCTGCCGCAGCCTCACTTTCTCGCTGGTTCCCCACTCCCCCTACTGCGCATGCCATACCTCGCGTCCACTCCCCGCCGTCGCCTCTCCTCTCCCATCCTCGCCTCTCGCCTCTCCTCTTTCCCCACGCCGTCGCCTCCTCTTTCCGCACGCCGCCGCCTCTCCTCTTTCCGCACGCCGCCGCCTCTCCTCTTTCCGCACGCCGTCGCCTCTCCTCTTTCCGCACGCCGCCGCCTCTCCTCTTTCTGCACGCCGCCGCCTCTCCTCTTTCCGCACGCCGTCGCCTCTCCTCTTTCCGCACGCCGCCGCCTCTCCTCTTTCCCCACGCCGTCTCCTCTCCTCTTTCCCCACGCCGTCGCCTCTCCTCTTTCCGCACGCCGCCGCCGCTCATCTTTCCCCACGCCGTCGCCTCTCCTCTTTCCCCACGCCGTCGCCTCTCCTCTTTCCCCACGCCGCCGCCTCCTCTTTCCCCACGCCGTCGCCTCTCCTCTTTCCCCACGCCGTCGCCTCTCCTCTTTCCGCACGCCGCCGCCTCTCCTCTTTCCGCACGCCGCCGCCTCTCCTCTTTTCCCCACGCCGTCACCTCTCCTCTTTTCCCCACGCCATCGCTTCTCCTCTCTTCCCCTCCGTCGCCTCTCGTCTCTTCCCCGTGGTCGCCTCTTCTTCCTCTCTTTGCCTCTCCTCTCTCCCCGCCGCCGCCTCTCCCCTCTTGAGCAAATGCCTTCGTTCCCCCGCTTTGTTCATCCCCCCCATGCCGTTGCCTGGTCCCGTCCCCTTCCCAGAGAACGGGGAATAACCTCCCCCAACCCTTCCCTTCCTTCCACCCCCCCTTCCCCCCCCCCCTCCTCCCCACCCATTTCATTTTTTCACTCTGATTCGTTGTGCGTTTCCCCCCTTGTCCCCCGTCCAACTTACCCGTGCGACACTGCAGATCCCCATACGAGCAAGCCTCGACTCCATCCATCATTGTCTTCACCTGCTCGCTCTCTCAGGTGGGAGGCTGAAAGTGTGAGTGTGTGCAGGAGAACACGGGAGGGAGGGGCTGTGAGCGTGCGAGAGAGTTAGGGTGTGAGGGAGAGGGTGCGAGTTGAAGGGTCAGAGCGTGAGAGGTTGTGAGAGGGAAGGAGTACAAGGAAAGCGTGTGAGTCAGAGAGTGAGTGGGAATATGTGAGAGTGAGGGGAGCGTGAGATTGATAGTGTGTATGACATTCCGAATACGAGTGAGACAGATACGGGGTCGCCCATTTTGGCTTCGGTTCTAATGTTTGAGTGCGAGTGTTTGAAGGTCAGCACACCTGGTTCAAGACATGCTCATACACGCCTTCGTTCGCCTTGTAAAGAATAGCGATCAGTTGAAACAGTTTGAGCATGGGTAGCCACCGCCGCCAATGTGCCGCTGCCATAGTAATATTCTTTTCCCACATCCGTACCACTTTAACCCCCTCCCTATCCCATTCTACTAGGCCATATCAACCTCCAGTTTCCTCCACAGCACTCTTCGTCTCTCCATCGTCCAGGCATCATCACCCCTCCCATCACTGTATCCCTCCTTGCGGTGCCATGGAGGGAGGCGCAGCAGCGCCGGCGAGCAGCACGGCCTTTTCCCTGCCACACTTCTACGACTACCCTCCCTACTTCACGTGCGTCACCGCGCCGCACCTTGCTGCACCTCTCACTCCTGCCCAGCCCCACTTTGCTGCTCACTCCATCTCCGCATCACTCCATCCCTTTGATCGCTTCAACTGGTTTCAAATCCGCACTGCATTCATCTGCTTATGCGCGCCTTTCCCTTCCCCCCTCCCTCCCTCATACCCCCCCCCCACCTCTCCCCCCCCCCCCACACAAAACAATCATCATGGCCGACCATCCCACTGGGCGGCACTGGCGGGGGGTGGCAGGCTGCAGCCGATCAAGGCGACACGCGAGCGGCAGGTGCGGCTGTGGGCGGATCTGATCGTGGCGTGGTGCCGCCACCACCGCACGCTGCTCGTGCCCCTCGACCACTTCCCCCTCTTCCACCACCCCGCCATCCAGCGTGAGGGCTTCGGGGGCAGGCAGGCGGGGCGTGCGCATGTTTGCTGGGGGGTGTCGAGAGGGAGAAGCAGAGGGAAGGGATGGGAGGAGGGTTTCGAAGGGGGGGAAGGAGAAGGGTGAATGGGGGAAGGGGGTGTCGAGGTGGAGGTGGTATGGGGCGTGGGATTACTCTTTTCTTGTTCACGGAAATGGGGCACTTGTAGAACCTTCAGCCGTAGATCCCTCCCTTGTCGACACTCTTAAATTGGTTGCTGTATCGATTACACACTGTGTTACGACTGAAAAAGAAAGGCGGGGCAGGTGGGTCGTGACAGGCGGAGAGTGGGTGGGGCAGGTGGGTTGTGACAGGCGGAGTGTGGATGGGGCAGGTGGGTCGTGACAGGCGGAGTGTGGATGGGGCAGGTGGGTCGTGACAGGCGGAGTGTGGATGGGGCAGGTGGGTCGTGACAGGCGGAGTGTGGATGGGGCAGGTGGGTCGTGACAGGCGGAGTGTGGATGGGGCAGGTGGGTCGTCACAGGCGGAGTGTGGATGGGGCAGGTGGGTCGTGACAGGCGGAGAGTGGGTGGGGCAGGTGGGTCGTGACAGGCGGAGAGTGGATGGGGCATGATGCGGCTAGTTGGGGGAAGAGTGGGGAGGTTGGTAATCCAGGCTGATGAGGGAAGGGGAAAAAAGGGTTGAGAGCTCCCGGCCCTTGAGCTCCCGGCCATTGAGCTCTCTGCCTGCTCCCTGCTTATTCTTCTCCACCGCTTTCGACGCCCTCCCTTCCTTCATGCATTCGTTCCTTCATGCATTTGTTCCTCGCTCCTTGAATATCTGACTTAGCTCCATTTTGCACGTCCGTTTTGTATTCTTGTCCCAACGGCCTGTTGCACCCTGTGTGTGTGTGTGGAAACAACCATGGCAGGCAAACTGACGTTCGAGGCGCGGCAGGTCTTTCTCGAGGCTCTTGTTGCAGAAGGCAAGCTCACTCCGCCTCTCTTGCGATCCTCCCACCGCTCACATCGCCCCAACGCTGCTGTGCTCTCAGCGCCCATATTTCTTGGCACATATATGATTCCTTCCGCTCCCATTCCTTCCGCTCCCATTCCTTCTCAACAGCATCACCTTCTCAACAGCAGCATCACCTTCGTTCTTTCTCCACTCAATGCTCCAATGGCCGCCCTCCAGTCGTTTCCCAGTGTCTTCAGCCTGCAGAGTTCATGGATTAGGGCGCCTCGTTCTCATCAACTTATGTGTCCATGGAACGGAAATGTGCCTTTCTGCTTTTGCGTTCCCTCCTTTGTGTGCCAGGGCGGGCGGAGTGGACGGATCGCAGTCGAACGAGGTGCCTCATTCTGTGGAAGTCCATCAACGACTGGGCCGACACGCTGCTGCAATTCGTACGCCCGCCTCCCCTCCCCTCAAGCGGTCCATGTATTAGCTACCAGCGGGTACAAACATGCACGGGGAGGTCCCCTCTCTTACGTGGTCCGTGCATCAATCGTTACAATCGGTGATGTCAACAAAGGCGGTGTAAATTGATAAACTAAAGATCCAAAGGCCTGTAGCAGTGATGAACTAGAAGGCATACACGGTGGGTGGTGCAGCGATCGCGAGGTCTTAGCTGATTCAAGGTGGCGGACAAGGTGGGCGGACAAGGTGGGCGGACAAGGCGGGCGGACAAGGTGTCTTGGACTGGACAAGACTGGAGCAGGTATCGTGTTTTGAACGGCCGGGTCCTCAACGGTGTGCACGAGCCCATCCCGACGTCAAGCACTTTGGGTTTGTCCCCAAGGCGAAGAGAGCCGGCTTGTCGAGGCAGGGGCAGCTCAGCTGAAGGCACACGATGTCTCATCGCGAGCTGCCCCGGCTCGAACCCGCGGTCGTCCACAGCGTGCCTCAATTCCGACCCGTCTTGGGCGGGCCAGCCGGGTTCCAGGTCGGGTCGGGTCGGGTCGGGTCGGGTCGGAACATCAAAGATCTCTGGCCCGACCCGGGTATCGGGTGCCAGGTCAGGCTTGACCCGCCCCTGGGTCGGGTCGGGTCGGAGCCGGGTCGGGTCGGGTCGAGCCGACTCCCATAGGCAGGGTCAAAGGTTCTCTTAAATACTGTGCAGGTTCCCTCCCCCACCCTCATCACCCGATCCTCCACTCTCGCCGTCCGCCTCACCCTGCGGTGGGGGGACCCAATCCGGGTCTTTCTTTTGTTCACGTGGTCCTTGCGCCTCCGCAGCTGATGCGGGAGGACCCTGTGACCCCCTCTGCTGCAACTCCTCACTCCTCCTTGCCGCAGTTGTGTCGTCCCACCCAATCTCCTCATCCCCATGGAAGAAGCTCCCCAATTGGAATGTGGCCCTAGATTCCGGCGTCGGAAGGCCTCCAAGCGACGCCCCTGGGATCGCGCGACTGCTATCCTGCCCTCCTTCTTGCGCGGATTCCGCGCGGGACCTTGGCGAATGACGTTTCGGAAACTTGAGCATCTGGCCCGACCCGACCCGACCCGACCCGATTTGGCCGGGCCACACGGGCCCTCGGGTCAGGTCGGGTCGGGCCAGGCACGGGCCACAATCCAGAAAGTGGTGGCCCGACCCGGGCCTACTGACTCGGGTCAAAGGTGACCCGAGTTCGGGTCGGGCCAGGCAGACCCGCCCCCTTAGGGGGAAGGTGGGGGTGCTCAACATGACTTTTACAATTTCTCTGTTACACTTGTTATTAATATACATATTTAAAGCATAGTTCTTCAACCACTTGACCGTGTGATGGTTTCAAAATCTGTAGATCACTAGTTATGACATGTACAATAACCTACTGGTTGATTCACAGTAGAGACATCACGAAACAATAGTGCAATTGGGTTTCCCATTGGGTTCGCCACAACAATTGCAATAAGTTCATGCAAACTATAAATATGTCCGCTAATAAAACCCCCAAAGCTGCAAGTGTCAATGCAAGCAATAGCACGTCCAGGGAGGTCTCTAGTAAATATGACGGTGCAATACCTCGACAGTCACAACAACAAAAGACACCGCAGCAACTCTCCCCGAGCAACCGTCTCTCACAACCCCAGCTGCTTTGCCTCAAGGCACAGCTGCGCCATCGTGGTCCTAGTGCCACCACGAACCTCAAGCCTCTGGCCAGGGTGGTGATCCTGCCAAGTCTTGATCATCATGGCCGCACGCATCTGCTGTGGGCTCAGACGGTGCCGCTGCCACCAGATGATGTTCCTGCTCTGACTGAAGGCTCTCTCACTCGTTGCAGACGTGGCGGGGATACCCAAATAATCGCGAGCCATGGCCCTAAGCCCGGGCAGCTGCAGCTCCCTCCCGCGCCAGTACACTAAGGTGCACCCTCCCTCCTGCCTCGCCTCAGCTAAATACTGGTCCACCTCGTCCTGTGCCTGCACCCCCTCCTCTGCCTCCATCTCTGCCAACTCTGCGAACAGCCTAGCCTGAAAGTCCAGCACGCCACGCGACCTGCCCCCCCTGCGCCCTGCAGCCCCGCTCCTCGCTGCGCCCTCCCCTGTCACTCCCCTAGCGCTCGTAACCTCCCCCCCAAGGCGTGCCTCTGCCGCTGCACGGGCAGCTGTCTGGTAGGTTGGAAGGCGCTCGTACACCCTCTCCTCACTCAGGTCGAGTGTCCTGGCACCCCTGGCATGCCCCCCCGCCTCTACCACAATGGGCGCACTAGTCCTCGTCCCCCGGGCCCTGAGCCTGAAGGTTGCCGTCTTGAGCCGAGGATCGAGGAAGGTGGCAATCGCACACTCCTCGCTCACCCGGCCCATGTGGCGCTCCAGCTTGTTCAAGGCCCGGCCCGAGAGGTCCTTGCACAGCTGGGAGACGTCTGGCGAATATTTGTTCCCCTCAAGAATATCCAGGAGCATGTTGTACTGCGGCACGACCGCTCCCATGGTGGGGTACAAAGACCCCTCCACGAATAGGGTGATGCTGTCAAACGGCTCGAGGAAAGCCCGCAGCTCGTTGAGAGCTGTCCAATGGGCATCTGACAGTCTGATCTCTGCCCATGCCGTGCGTGTGGCCTTCGTGATGTTTGGCTGAGAGGGGGAGAGAGGGAAGGGATGGAGAGTGTTTTGGTTGGAGTGGAGGTGACATTGCGGAAGTACAGGGTGATGGGATGGGGTTGGGAAGAGTTGAGAGGCCACATGGCGTGGATGCCACAACCATTCGATATAAGAACATGCAATCCAAAGTGGTGAAGAGATGAAATGGAGGTGACATTGAGGTAGTACAGGGTGATGGGATGGGGTTGGGAAGAGTTGAGAGGCCACATGGCATGGATGCCACAACCATTCGATATAAGAACATACAATCCATAGTCGTGAAGAGATGAAATGGAGGTGACATTGGGGTAGTACAGGGTGATGGGATGGGGTTGGGAAGAGTTGAGAGGCCACATGGCATTGATGCCCCAACCATTCGATATAAGAACATACACCCCGAAGTGGTATAGAGAGATGAATTATACTTGACACACGCACAGTACATGGTGACCTGATGATAATCCCATACTTACGATAGAGGACTCATCGAAGTACATCGTGAGCGGAATGGACAGCTCACACCCCCTCACCACCATCTCCAGCGTGGAACCCCAGCGCGTGTCCGAGTCAACAATCAGGCGCAAGTCAGTAGGTCTCTTGCGCGCACTGTTGCCCCCCTCTGCCTGCGTCGCCCCCCCCCTCTGCAGTGCCCCCCTCTGCCTGCCTCTCCCCCCCCTCTTCTGCCCCCTCCCCTGCCTGTGTCGCCGCAAGGGTCGCAGCATACTGCTTCTGGATGTCAAAAAAGCGCTCCGACCGCTGCACCGACCACCCGATGTAGCTAGCCACAGCTCGCAACCTCCGGAGCGCCTCGGCCACCGGCTCGACCTTGAGTGCGTACTGCACTGCGAGGTTCAGGACGTGGGCCACACACCTGGAGGGGAGGGCAAGCAATGCCATAGATAAATGGCAATGATCAACCATGGTATGGGGTTCAGGTGGGTACTTGGCATTACCCGATATGCTCTGGACACTAGTAGCAAGAGCGGATGGCACTTACTTGAAGTGCCGAGACAGGGACATGACGGGGGGGTCACGCGGACGTGACCCCAGTGTGTCGTCAGGGACGCCGGCCAACAAACGAACCGCCCGGTTGTTCTTCTCGGCGTTGTCCGTCGTCACGCCGAAGAACTCACCACCACCCAATGCCCACTCTCCTATGACCTCCTCCAGCTCGGTCGCTATCTTATCCCTCGTGTGACGGCCCTCCAGCAGCCTGAAGTCGATCACCATCTGTTGCAGCTGGAAGTCCGAGGTGACTCGGTGAGCAGTCACCACCATGAAGGCGACGTTGTTCTCACTGGTCGATATGTCAGTGGTGAGTGTCACCCGCCCCGCCAGACCGTCGCCTGTCAACAGCTGGCGAAGCTGAGCCTTAGCCGTCTCGGCCGCAGACAGCAGATCCCGCGCAAGGCGGAAACGTGTGCCGAGATGCTGCGCCGCGTCCGGGTTAAGCAGGGCCACGAAGTCACGAAACGGCCATGAGGAGGGTCACATACATGGTAAGGAGTGAAAGAAGATAATGGTGGTAGGATATTGCGCACAGCATGTCAATGTATACTCGATTGTGCATGAGTACAAAAGAAAACGCGCACAGTGCTTACCGCTGGCCTGTCGACCGAGCGGAACATGTCAAGGCCGGCGAACAGCATCACCAGGGCCTCGCGCAGCTGCCGCTCTCCAACCCGAGTCGTGACATACTGATCGATGGTACCCTGCCTACCCCCCCAACGGCGGCTCCTCCAGTCAACCCACTCGGCCCGGCCCCCGTCTCGGCTACCGGAACGTCAGGCCATATGGCAGCGTGCTCCCACGGCCACTTAGTCTTATCCGGTACTGTAGGTCCCCAACCACCATCCGGGAAAACAAGCCCATCAGACTTGTTTTGGTTCAGAAAGCGACGGACCCAAATCTGGAGGCTAGGATAGTGCGCCCTCTTCAAATGCCTGGCCCCCGAGCTCGTGTTGCCTAAACGCCAACTAATCAACGTGTTGTCACGTAAGGCATCGCCGTGCATCGTTGTTCAGCGCCCCAAACATGCCTTTCACCAAGCCCGGCTCTCCCCTACTCAGAGCGCTCTCCACGATAGGGTCCAGGTCCTTTTCGGTCGGCAGCTGGTTGGCCTCCCGCATTGCATTGATAGAAGCTCAGGAAATACCAATGCGGCGTGGTCCAGCAGTGGGCGCGGCAGCAGCAGCAGCAGCAGTAGCGCGAGGGCGTCCGGCAGCGCGTGGACGTGCAGCAGCAGCAGTAGTAGTGGGCGGACGCCCAGCAGCAGCAGGAGCCGCAGCAGCTGCGGTAGCAGCAGCAGTAGTGGCAGCAGCAGGCGCACCAGCAGCTGGAGCAGACACGGCAGTAGGTACAGCACCTTCACCCACACGTGCTCTCTTCTGTCCCACACGCCCCCCCCCCCACCCTCGCCACCGCTATCACCGTCACTCGCAGCGCCAGCATCCGCATTACCCGGCACCCAAGTCGGGTCGCGACGTTCCTCAGGCGACTGCTGCTCAGTAGCACGCAGGTCATCCATTGCCTTCTGCCATCGCTGCTCCTCCGAAGCCCGCTGCGCCGCAATGCCCTCT